AACATCGAATAAACAAAGTAATATAGCCAAAACTGGTCAAAGTAAAAAGTTTATATTATTTCTTCCACCACTGTATCTATGTAAGTTAACAAAAAGATGTAACTAAATCAATAATTGTGTTCGCTTAAGTACCCGCATCGAGGTACTTGAGCGGGTTTTACTGCATTAAAGACTTCTATCTATAAAAGTCATCAATAAAAATTAGTCAATGACTTTACTTTTAAAAGTCATCAATATTAACGAGTCACTGACTTTTATTTTTTAAGTCATATTTATTAAATTCATTTGAGTAAGTCGGAGTAAACTTTAGTTCTCCAACATCTTCTTAACTGCAAAAATTGACAATGACTTTTATACGTATGACTTAAAAAATAAAAGTCAGTGACTGATTTGATGAAAAGTAAATTCATGGACTGATTTTTATAAATAAAAGTCTTTAATCAGTGCTATTTAAGAATTATTATATAAAAATCCAAAACAACTGTTATTCGCATACTGCATAGATAAAAATCAAAAATAATTGATAATTTTGATTTAGAAAATTAAAATCAAAAATAATAATTTATTTTTATTAATTTTGCACAAAAATTACAAAAAAAAAATGTATTTCAAATTTGATTCTCGGTGAAAAGAGAAATCGTGTGGTATATATCACTTAGTTGTAGAACATTTCGTTCATATTGAATTATTGAACTGACAGTTTTCATAATAACTGTTATGTTCGGTCCTTGGTCTTCCTTTTCACCGAAGATGCAGAAAGGCTCAACATCATGCTTAAATCGGTACAAATAAATATGACTTGAAGCAACCATACCCCGTAAATATTTGGGACAGGTGGAAGCTCACTTCCCCATGTTGACTACGTACCGACCTTGATATCGAGAGTATCCGGGGGTGCGCGACTATCGTAGCGCTTGCGTTGATCTGCTCCATTGTGCGCAAAGGTCGGTGTATGAACGCTTATCTAAAACACCTTGTATGCATGTAACATATAGCATGTACTTTCTTCTATATACATACATACATATGTACATATGCAATATCTTGCAACATATTAACACTACGTGAGGGGAATCAAAACTTTGTTCAAAATTACAAAAGATAAAGTTTTTGTTTTTCCACTTTTTAGTGTTTCCATTTCATTTCATATTAAATACTTGCCGTTACTTGACTCTTAAGTTGTGTCTCAACTCTATTCTTCCGCTATATTTATTTGTAGATAAAACGGAAGCTCGAGGAACTGCGTAAAAATAATGAAAATACGAAAAAGAAAATGCAACCAGTTTGGAGAAACAGCGCTCGAGCTAGGCAATAAAACCTACAACTGTAAGTAAGATAAAGTGAAGTGAGCTGAGGAGCAACCGCACCAACGAGCCAACAAGCCAACAAGCCAGCCAACCAACGAATCAACCAACCTATCAGCCAGTCAACCAGTCACTTAGTCACTTAGTCAGCTAGTCATTTAGTGTGTGTGTCAGTTGGTGAGAGGAAACCATCAGTCAGCGTCATCGTCGTCTTCGACGTCGTCATCGTCGGAAGAGTCAGTCAAAATAATAGTCAACCGTCACGTCAGAGCACTTCAGATTGCATGCGAATATCGCTTGCGCTCACTTAACCATTGAGCGCCGCCCCATTTCCGGCAGGCAACCAAGAAGGGCGGCCGGCGCAACTTCTCTCGCCAATTCTAACAATCGAGCCTGCAACCTGCCTTTCGCATAGCCAAAATTTTCTCGCATAAAAGGCAATGAACTTTCTGAAGCAGCTACTTGACGGTTGTTTCGTGCTGTGTGGCTTCAGTTTCTTGATTTTCCTATATTTACCACTCATGTTGGCGATGCCGGAACAAACGCGTCTGGCAAACGATTTCGATTACCGGTTGCAGCGTGCAAAACATGTGTTGCGGGAGTCGCCACTCATTGACGGGTAAGTAGTTAGTTAGTTGTTGGTTTGGTACAAGCTGGTGGACGTTTTATTAGATAAATTCATACATAAATATGTATATATGTACAAATCTAAATACATACATATGCCTGCATATGCGAGTAAGATTACATGCATACAGATTGATGTTTGTATAAAGGGTGGTAAATGAAAATGTTCTATGCATTTTAAAAGAAAATAGGGTATTACTTTTTTAGTTCTTTTACATAAGTACGTCGATTATATATTCTTATAATTTTTTCCCTTTTCTATATTTATGTAGACCAGCTTTTAAAAGCTTTTTATTCATTTAAATGTATGCGCATAGAGCGCTAACGGAAATCACCTGCCGGGGTACAGAGTTTTCGTTTATACATAAGTTCAGGTGGAAAAAGCTCTATCTGCCCATAATCGTAATGGAGTTATATAAAACCTTTTCTGATCGCCAATGACTTAGATCGCTCTCGGCCTAAGAGAAATTTTACTCTATGTGCTCCCATGTAATAAGTATCAACAGAAAGTCTTAAAAAGCTTATTTCGCTTCTCCAGAGAGAGCTTTTATTTTTTGAGCTTTAAAAAAATGCTCTAGCTATATTTATTTTGTTTTAATTTTTTTATTTTTTTATAAATTTGTTTAGACCAGCTTTTTAAAACTATTGACATATTTATAGAGCGGTAACGGGCATAGATTTACTAGTTTACAAAGCTTCTTTAAGCTTTCTATACATTTGGCATATTCATAAGGTCACGGAGTTAGAACTTTTTCTGACCGCTTTTGATTTAGAGCGGGCAAAGCTCTTTGAAGCTTTCTGTAAGAAAAAGCTATAAAGGGCTTTGCCCGCGGGCAGGCCGGTGCCCACCACCAATTTAGATCCCCGTCGGCCAGAGAGCTTTTGCTCTCTGGTCTTCCAAATAATATGTAAATACAAAAAGCTTTGAAAAACTTTTTCAGCTGATTCATAGAAAGATTTTATTTTTGATCTTTAAAATGCTTATCTAGTTGAATATGTATAGTTTTCCTTTTTCTAAGTTTGTTTATATCAGATTTTTAAAGCAGTTTTAAGCTTTGTTCACATCACGTATAAACATATGCTCAGAGGGGAAAGAGCTTTCTCTGTCCGGTAAAATCGTTTCTGATTGCCACTGATTCAGAACCCTGTCGGCCAGGGAGAGCTTTTGCTCTGTGCGCTCCCACATAAAAAGTATTTATAGAAAGCTTTGGAAAGCTTCTTCGGGGGAGTCTTTATTTTTTGAGCTTTAAAAAACTTCTCTCACTATATTTTTTCTGTCGTTACTGGTTTTGACAGATACTGTCGCAGCGAAAGATTGCCATTAGTAAGCAATAATAAAATCTACGAAACCAAGGGTTCTCTAAGCATATAGTCTCGATAAGTATCTTTCTAGACCAAAATGACGTGATCTACATACGTATGTATGTGCATTTAGTACCTGACCTCAAAATTCATTAAAATTACTTAAATTTATTTTCATTCAGATCGTCGAAATGATCGCGATGTTAGATTTGATCAAGAAATTATAAGGAAGTAAAGCTAGAATTTTAGTGCGCCGTTGAACTTGAAAAATCCTTGAAAAATTTCAGAAAAATCCCGAGAAGATCCCGAAAAACTTCATGGATAATTTCATATTTTTAGCAAATAACATTTGTTTCGCCTTAATTTCGTAAAAAAAACAAGTCCTAAAATATTACAAAAATCGAAGGTCACCTTTCTTGTGATTTCATTTTGGTTTCGAAATCTAAAAATAACCTGTATTTAGAGCTAGTCACCCCAGCAGACATAGACCTGCTATTAGACTCTTTGCGAGTACATCCGATTCTTTCCCCTATGCCTTTCTAAATAAACCAAAATGAAGAATTTACAAATTTCAGCAATCGCCGAATCTTGATACCGACTATATATAAGTTCGGTCCCAAGGGCCCAGCACCCATGAACTTCCTTGTTTTTGCAGCTTCTTTAGAAATCATTATAAGGCCCCAACATCAATGATCTGAGCTTTCAGCAGGCCCACATTTAAAGAAATTTCTCCTTGGCTCAGCGTTCAAACCACCCGCATTCTTTTCGAATCCCACCCTGGTCGCAATAAGAAATTACAAATTTTCTGCTGGGTTGATGCTAATTTACCTAAACCGAGTGATAAGAAGTTTACGCATAAAAAATTATACACATTTTCAATTTTAGCATCTATCGGTTATTATTAAAGAACACTGAATTGGAATACCCTGTTTGAACTTATATACTAATAGACGGATGTATGCATTTACACATGATTACCAGAATTTGTTGCAAACCGCCAAAAGCGTTGTGGTATTTCAAGTGATATTTACGTTAGGCCACACGTTCAAGTAAGTATGTGCATTAGGGTGGTCCAAAACAATAAATTGTCGGAATTGTAAGGCTCCGAATCCACTAGGATTGTTCTATATCGAAAAAAGTACATCCCAAAGCGCTCAAAGTTTTCCACGTATTTTTATATGAAAAAAAAACAACTTTTCGTAGAAATGGTATAGAATTCTTGAAAGTCAATATTTTTGGTCGGAAAACTGTGGTTCTCTTTAGGAGACTTTCAGTAATAATATCCAATTATTTACTTAACCATTTTTCAACATTAACGGTTTTTTATTGGTCGCCCAATTGCATTTGTAAGGGTTTTTGTGGGTTTTTGGCAGGCCTATAATTTATAGTAGCGATGAAAAAATAGCCAAATAAACAATTCGGTATTATTGTGGAAAGTTTGTTTAAGAGAATCACAGTTTTCCAAACGAAAAATATTGATTTTGAAGAATTCTATACCATTTCCAAGAAAAGTTGTTTTTCCCCATATAAAATACATGGAAAATTTTGGGCGCTTTGAGCGATCTCTAAACTTTTTTTGATTTCAAAATAAAAAAAATATGGGTATTCTAGGGGGTGAGAGCATAAACATTTCGACTTTACTTTTGCCCCCATCTACATTTTTGGACCACCCTAATGTACATACATATGTATAAGTATACATATAAACAAATACACGCATATTTGCACTTCCTTCCACACAAAATATTTGCATTACTCGGCTGTAATTAATGCTCGCATGTCAACCAAGCTAAAAACAGTTATGTAATAGATTTTTCACTCATCCACATGCCCCAAAATGGAGGCGCTTCTTTCGTTAAACCGTTTTCCAGCCCTTTCCGGTGACTTGTTCACTCTGTCACTATATATGTATGTATGTATATGCTGTACATGTATTTGCATATATGCACGTACATTTCTTCGCACACCATCTTCAAAAGAGGCACAACTCAAAATTTGGCATTTTTGAAATTATCGCTAAAAATGTACACAGAGCTTTTATTTACCTTTCAGCAAAAGCTAGAGCAAATTTTTGTTATAATTTGTCAAAAAAAAACCTACGGTAAAGTCGCCATTGCCCATATGACTAGAATGTGCTACGAAAGAGTTTTTCGCATTTTCTGACGAACGTATTATTTTGAGTTATGACCCTTTTGAAGTCGGTGTGTGATATGTATATACGAGTATATAATTGCCTACCCTTCTCTTTACTGACATTTGGCATAATGCTGTAGGTCATTTGCTAGCTTCCTCGCCAGAAATAGATTACGAGTTATTAGTAAAGTGTGTGCTTACATATTTTCCTTTTTTTATTTAGTTGTTGCTCGTAGTTTCTACATGCATGAATAAACCAATTATTTATTCGTGTGTGTGTGTGTTTTTGTTCTTAAGTGTTTTTGCAAGTGTATGTAAAATAAATGGCGCAGAGAGTCGTAAAGTGATGCACCAGCTGCGGTTCGAACAGCTTTTGGGAATGTTAAAGTATGAGTAACTAAGCCAAAAAAAAAACTGCGTTATAAAATAATAAAGAAGTTGCACAAATACAGTGGCGGTCTAGTAACGAGATTATAGCAGCAAGTTGCTTTTATAATTAATTGATTTTATGAAGATTAATTGCGTAAAGCTTAATGTAAATATTGTCATTGTTTTTGTTTCTTTAAGTTCAACTGCAATTTAGTTTATCGATTAGTTGTGCGCGCCATCCACTATATGTGGGGACGTACTTAGGAGCTTATGTTAGCTTGGATTTGGAAAGGATAAACAAACATGCATTGTATGTAGGTAGAGCGGTCTCTCTGATGGAAAGCGCAGCTCTATTGTTTGAGGGTGTAGAGATAAGTTATCCGCGGAATGGTAACTTTATAAAATAGGATCAAAATCTCCTGTGAAATTGGGGAAGCTTAGTTAGTATAAATGCTCCAGATTTAGACCTGTTCTTATGAGGAGTCCTGCACGCACGGGATATTTAAAAGATTAGACGAGTAACTGGACCATAAGCTGCGAAAAGTCAATCAGACTAAGAACTCGGAGGGCAGTAAGCACTTTCAAAGCCTTAAAGTAACCAGTACTAGACTTTAGTATTGCCAATATGTTGGCTAGTTAGTTGCGAAGTGCGTGAATATACACGTCATCAGAGCTTGAAAAGTGATCAAAGTGACCTTTGCGGCTGCTATAAGCTCACAAATTTCTCGCACGAACTTCAGGGCAATCAGTAGCTCTTCGTTGTTTTTGCTGATTGATCAGCTTGATCGAGATTTGGCGGCGCGGGTACTTCCTGACCTAGCTGAGAAATTTTAGTAACGTCCAACTGGGTACAGTTGTCGGTCGTTCAGATAGGATGGAGGTCGAAACCGATCTAATCAGGTCGAACGTTCTGTGCCGTTAGCATGGTGAGAATGAGAGCATGCGGCACTGAGAGATTGGTTTGGCCTAAGGGGTAACAAAGGACGACCAAAAGCCACAACCCTGGTTTTTAGAATCGGTTCGGTTTAAGCGCCTCAATTCATCCTAGGGGACCCGTTTTGATACTAATTGAGAGCTCGAATTCGAACCCGTCCGTTCACCTACAACAAAGTTAGGTTCAGGAATGCCAGCTTCACTTAGGTCGGCCAGACAGACAAAGAGGTGAGCGTCTTCTCGCCCACGAACAGG